ACGGTTGTGCTTGAATCCACCTCCCAGCAACATGATTGGCATGTGTGCTCATCTCCTTTTCTGGATCCCTGCTCCATACATTTCTACTCTCATGTCTTCAGCTGTTCTTCTCATGTGCCTCATTCAGCTACTTCTGTTCAGGGGCTCATGCCAAGGCTGCATGACCTCCACCTCAGTGCCCTATGGGTTATTGCACTGCGAACTTCTTGAGTTGGTTGCATGCAACTTATTTGCTGTGTGTAAAGTGCTGTCAAGTTGCAGCTGACTTATGGTGACCCCCCTTGGGGTTCTCAAGGCAAGAGACAAATAGAGGTGGTTTGTCATTGTCTGTCTCTGCATAGTGACCCTGGACTTCCTTGGTGGTCTCCCATCCAAGTACTTAGGAGATTGGTGTAGCTTGGGCCATGCTGGTCCCTTGTAGCTGAGGCTTATCGAACTTTGGGAGCTGGAGACTACAACAAGGTACCCCATGAGTCACTTTGAAATGCAAACACTTCTGTTCTGCATGAGCCAGCAGGAAGTTTGACTAGTGTAAAAGTGTATGTGCTATTGAATGTTTTGTGCTTCCAGGGCCCTGTGCGATCGAACTCGCCTGAAGTTGCAGTTGCTGTCATACAGGAACTGAATCGCAGAGGCACATTGAAAAACGCACTTGCGGGACGAGATGAGAAGCAACTCACTGTCCTCCTTAATTTCTTGATAAGGTAATGCCAAGGAGATGATCTCTGGGCCAAAATGTTGTGCTATATGTTGAGAGAAGTTCCACAGTGAATTTTGTTTTCAAAGTACATGGTTTTGAAAGAGGCTTGGAAAGATTTGACAAGTTCTTTCATGACCAAGGGTGAATAGAAAGAGGTGCCAGGATATGGAAGCTGGTGTTTGACAGCCCCAGCAATACAAATATTGATAGAAGCACCATTTATACGTCTGAATTAAAAGGCTGCAGCCAAATGGTTGGTTGGATCAAACCAGCATGGGGAATCCAGCACTCTTCTTCCCTTCCCATAAGAAGAGTTCTGTTGGATCAGACTGGTGGTCCATCAAGCCTAGTGCCCTGTTTCACACACTGGCCAACCCGGAGGGCCCAATAGGGCCAAAAGACTAATGCATTCCCCTGATGTTGTTTTTATTGGGATTTTTACCCCGCCCTCCCCGCGAAACGGGCTCAGGGCAAGTTACAATTAATCACAAACAACAATGATACTCAATTGAAAGCAGGATGGTCCCTGAATATATACAATGATGGTAAAAACAGTTCTCTGGGGATGATGTTGTCCTATAGCTGATCCCAAGCAAATAAGTCCAATAATATAAATTGCACAAAATTGGGGCAGATCTTCCCGGGCCATCCTTAACCCCGATGTTGTCCACATCATTGGTGGTGGTGGTGGTAGTGGCGGCCCCATGTGAAAGCCTGGTGGAAGAGCTCTGTCTTGCCGGCCCTGCGGAATGGCATAAGGTCCCGCAGGGCCCTGATCTCCTCCGGGAGCTCGTTCCACCAGGTAGAGGCCGCCACCGAAAAGGACCTGGCCCTAGTCGTGGCGAGCCTTGCCTCCCGGGGGCCTGGAACCACCAGGCGATGTTGCGCCCCGGACCGAAGTGCTCTTGGGGGTATATGTGGAGAAAGGTGGTCCCTCAGGTAAGTCAGACCCTGTCCATATAGGGCTTTAAAGGTAAGTACCAGCACTTTGAAACGGATTCGGTATGTGCTCCCACTTAGGGAGACCCATCATCAGCCTGGCCGCCACATTCTGCTCTAGCTGCAGCTTCCGGATCTGTGCCAAAGGCAGCCCCATGTAGAGAGTGTTACAGTAGTCTAACCTTGAGGTGACCGTTGCGTGGATCACTGCCCCAACCCCGGTCCGCTCCAACTCAGGCACAGGACCTCCGTCTTCGTTGGGTTTAGTTTCAGCTGGCTCAGTCTGAGCCACCCAGCCACGGCCTGTAGTGCCTGGTTGAGATCTTCTGGGTTGGAGCCCGACCGGCCGCCCAACATCAGATAGAGCTGGGTGTCATCAGCATATTGATGGCAACCCAGACCAAACCTCCTGGTAATCTGGGCAAGGAGGCGCATATAGATTTTAAACAACAGTGGGGAAAGCACTGCCCCCTGAGGCACACCACATTCAAGTGGGTGCCTCCGGGACTGCTGTTCCCCTATCGCCACCCTCTGTCCCCGACCTTGGAGAAAAGAGGCAAGCCATTGAAGAGCGAGCCCCTGTATCCCCATGTTGGCGAGGCGGTGGGTCAGCAACTGGTGGTCGACTGTGTCAAACGCGGCTGACAGATCTAACAACAACAGTGCCGCCACACCACCTTGATCCAGATGCCTCTGAAGGTCGTCAGTAAGGGCAACCAGCACTGTCTCAGTCCCGTGACCTGGGTGAAAGCCGGATTGGAATGGATCGAGGACAGAAGCGTCATCCAGAAAGTTCTGAAGCTGTGTCGCCACCGCCCTCTCAATTTGCCCAAATAGGGCAAATTGGACACTGGCTGATAGTTGGCTAATCCAGCCGGGTCCAGAGTTATTTTTTTTCAGGAGAGGACGGACCATCGCCTCCTTGAGTGCCTCAGGGAGCCGTCCCTCCAAGAGGGACTTGTTGATAATGTCCCTTACGGCACCTCGAGACCCCTCGTGGCCCGCTTTAATGAGCCAGGAAGGGCACGGATCAAGGCGGTACATGGTTGGACGCACAGATACGAGCATTCTGTCAACTTCCTCCAGACTGAGCGGCTCAAAACATTCTAAACCCTGTGAAGTTCGCTCACTGTTTCAATTGTGGCAGGGAGGTCACAGCGGAGCGTCAAGACTTTGTCTGCGAAATAGCTCGCAAAAGCCTCACAGCCAATATCCAGTTCCCTACTGTTTTGTCTGCCATGGGGCAGAGCTGTCAAAGACCGAATTGTTCTAAATAATTGGGCTGGCTGTGAGCTCCCTCTTAGCAGCCTTGACTGCCATGTCGTAGGATCTCATAAACGTCCTATAAGATGTTTTTGATGCTTCGTCGTGGGCACACCGCCACCGTTTCTCTAGCCGTCTTAGCTCTTGTTTCATAAGCCACAACCCGTGGGTATACCAAGGGGCAAGCCTAGAGCGAGAGGGCAGAGGACGCCTGGGAGCAATCTCATCGATGGCTGTGGAGAGTCGGTCATACCAGTCCTCCACAAGCTCATCCAGTGAGCCGCCTGGGGGCATCAGATCCCGCAGGACCATCTGAAGCTAAACAGGGTCCATTTGGTTCCGCGGGCGAGCTAAAATCTGCTCGCCGCCTAAACAGGGTTGGGGTGGGACATTCAGACGAGCCTTCAGGGCAAAGTGGTCCGACCATGGTACTGCCACTGCAGTAATCTGGTTCGCTGTAATCCCCGCCGCGAAGATCAAATCGAGCGTGTGCCCGGCCTGGTGCGTGGGCATCGCTACAAGTTGAGAGAGTCCCAGTGCCGTCATGAATGAGACCAGGTCCGCAGACCGGCTGGAGGCCGCATCATCGACATGGACGTTGAAGTCACCCAAGACCAAAAGCCTAGGGTGCTCCAGCGCCCAGCCTGATACGGCCTCCAGCAGGGATGGCAGGCTACTGGCTGGTGCGTTAGGCGGTCGGTACACTAGCCAGATTGCCAAACTCTCCACAGTCCCCAGCACGAAGCCGACACACTCCAAGCATGTGATCTCCAACGGGGGGAGCGCCCTGAAGGAGAAAGCCTCCCGAATGAACATCGCCACACCTCCCCCCCGCCCCTTAGTCCGTAGGACCAAGAACCCGGGGGGGGGGGCAAGTTGGGAGAGAGCTACCGTCTCCCCATCCTGCACCCAGGTCTCAGTCATGCACGCCAGGTCCACCTGTTGTTCCATGATGAAGTCCCGAAGGACTGTCGTCTTATTGTTGGTGGACCTGGCGTTACACAACACCAATGACGGAGAGGGGTACTTCATCCTAGCCCCACTGCTGACCTCCTTCGGGATGGGTCGTAGGGTGGAAGGGTGCTGAGCCCTTCTTTTTCTCAACACCCTTCCCTAGGCCCACCGCTAAACTTTCCCCTCCCCAAGAGCACTGGAATCTGTTGATCAGCCATAGCCGCACCAGCCAGTCTCCGTGGTGGCATCAGACCACTGGTAATCAACTAATCAGACCAATTCCTCCTCTCTAAGCTGAACGCAGTATCGGCTCCTGGTGCTATAATACTAAATTGTCTAACAGCGTTGATGATTATAATAGCATGTACAACAGCGCAACTTTAACAGTCAATATCTCTAACTTAGATAAAATTCCTAACTTGGAAACCAATTTGACGCAATCTACAACTACAGTCTCCCTACCAATTTGATTGGTCGCCCACCTAATAAACCCAGTAGCCTTTGAAGCCTATTTATTTACTTATTTTTGTTATTTTGGTTTTAGCTAGCTTTGTTTTAGATAGGTTATAAATTATGATGCAATTTTAATATTTTGTATTGTTTTACTGTTTTACTGTGTTATTAATTCTATGTTGTTAGCCGCCCTGAGCCTCCGGGGAGGGCGGGGTATAAATATAAATAATAAATAAATAAATAAATAAATAAATATCCTCTTATCCCCCCCCCACCCAGCAGTGGATTCCAGAGGTTTAGTGCCACTGAATGTGGAAGTTCCCTTTAGTCATCATGGCCAGTAGCCACTGATGAACCTTTCCTGCAGGAATGTATTCCAATTTACCCTTTCTGGCTCATTTCTAACGGTGTGTAGCCCCAATTCTACCTCTCCATTTTGTGCCGTCCCTCCTTTCTCCATTTCTGCAGCTCCAGGCCTCCACAGTTACTGTTCCCTGCTTTTGGATCACAATTTGCTTCCTTCAGCTGGGCTTCCTAGCATTTCTCTCTCTCTTCTCCTACAGCTTTCCCCTCTTGGTCTGAAGTGTGTGAGATTTTTTTTGTTTTGTTTAGAAAACTAAGCAAAAAGAGGAGGGTTGTTTTGGGGGGTTTTTTAGTAGCCCGTGCTTTGCCCTCTTGTTTTTTCTGGTTTTTGAATTTCTCCTTGTGGTACAAAGGAGAGCCTAAGCTAGATTTCCTGGATTGGAACATGAAGGTTAACATAGGGCTTTTTAACTTAATTTGCAGGCATGTGACTGATGCAAGATTTGCTCCTGTGCTAATAAATGTTGCGGAAATGATTATAGGTAAGTATGATGCTCCAAGAACACTAATTTATAAGGTAGCCAAAAGTGTGCTAGTGTTAATCACAAGGGGGGATGGAATTTTTTAAAAAGGCTTATATTTGTTTATTGAGTACATATTTAGACAATTTTTATGTCACCTTTCCAGAGTGCTTGCTTGAGATGGCTTACCAAATAAAACCATGGATTACTATTAAAATCCAGTATGGTACAAAATGCCAAATTTACTTAAAAGGAAAGCTACCCTGAATGTAAGACAACGCCCCCCAAGTTATATACAATTAATTTTTTTTTTTTGCTGAACATAACTGTATCTTGTATGCAAATGGTAAGATAAGAGCTCTTCCTCTTTTTCTTTTTTCTTGAAACGGCATACCTGGAGAAAACCTTGTCTTGCACTGCTGTAAATACTGTAAAAAGCAGCTCAAAAAAGAGCCTCACAACAGTTCTTATGCTATAAATAAAAAGCAGACTATAAGGGCTTGATTTTTTTAAGGGTCATTTTAAATTAAAAGCCTGGCTAAAAAGATATATTTTTGCCTGGCACCTAAAAGAGAGTGGAGTATGCACCAGGAGTGACTCATTCCACAGGTGAGGCACTGCTGAAAAACCCCTCCCTCTAACTGCCACCTGTCTCACCCCTGCAGGCGAGGGCACAGAGAGCAGGGCTTGTGATGAGGCTCCTAATGCATGGGCTGGACAGTAGAGGGGGAGGCGGTCTTTCCGGGACTCTGGCCCCTAGACATTTAGGGCCCTAAAGGTGAGAACCAGCTCTTTGAATTGTGCCCAGAAACAGGTGGGCAGCCAGTGCCTCTTCCTCTGACTCACGGTATGTCAAGACTTTCCCACTCTCTGAAGTCTGTCCTCACAGCTATAAAACTTTTGAGATTTGGCTTTTAAAAATATATATGGAGAAGGAAGCCAGGATTTTAAGGGAACTGAACCAAGCACACAGTATCAAAGTAAACACTTCTTATTCTTGCTCAGAATTGCAAAATACACTCAGCCCTTCTTATAAGAGAATAAATAGAATGTAGTCACTTGCATTTAGCACAACCACACCAATAAGAAGCCTTTGCTTTTCACAGAAAGACTTAGAATGTCTTGTTAAACAAATCAAAATGTATATGCTTAAGAATCTTGTAAATTATTCGTTTGTATCTAATAGTGAATGGCTGGCCCTGTGTGGATAGTAAAATCATTGCACATTGTATTGGGAAAACCTTGGCCAAATAAGTATCAAAGTAAACACTTCTTCTTCTTGCTCAGAATTGCAGAATACACTCTCTTGCTGTTTAAGACGAATCCATTCATACCTTCAAGATGAACTGAAATGATTTTTTTAAAGGGCAAGAGCCTGTTGCCTGCCTACAAATCATTTGATGCAGTTGCTTGTGAAAATTCTGTTCTCCTTGGAATTATTTTCTTGGCAATCTTAGTGGTGTGACTGAATTCCTTGTACTTAGAAGAACGGCTAGAGCCTGGTAAGCAGGAAATTACATTAACTTGTGCTTTTTCCCCTCTCTTGCCAGATATCTACATGCCTGTGGTTGGACAATCTGCTGTTGTTGATAAGCAGTTTCTAAAACTTCAGAATGTTGTAGAAAAGGAGATCGATTACCAGGAGGAACTGCTAGAAGTCTTGGGAATGATGGATGCACTCTTTGCTACTATGGCAAGAAAAAAGCCTATTCCCCTGGAGGAGAACAAACTGGATGGTCTATAGACTGAGTCCTTGCACAAGGATGACATTGGGTGATTTCACTAGTGAATGTATTGCATTTGACTCTCATTTTCACCAGTGACACTCCTCAAAAACCTGCCGTACACCAGGAAAGAAGTTGAAGGGTGCCTACTACTGGTGATTGTACAGAGAGAAAGAAAAGACCCCTGTGGAAATATTTTTAACGTTTCTTGTTCAAAAGCTATTTAAAATATTTCATGCCAGTGTTTTATAAAGTTTATTTATATAAACACGTAAAAATGCCCTTATGAACACATTGTAGCTACATTTGATTTTTTTCAGATTTCCTGAGAAGGTTCTGTTAAATCCCTAGTTTTTGAACTAGGAATAAATGAGGCACAAATGTGACAATAGTATGCAATGTTGTTTTCTATTTTAATTCTCTTGCACAAAATCACCAGAATCCTTGCAGTGTGTATCTTTGTTCATTCAAGATCCAGCTTTCATAGTTAATACTATCTGTAAATAAGAGAGGCTTAATGTGGAATATATTTCCCTTTGAAAATAACTGTAAATCCCAAGGATAAAGATCTAACATCAACACCAACTTGGGCTACATTCTTTGTTATCCTAGCTGATTAGCCAACTCGCAACACTCGTTTTAAACACAAAGTTGAAAAATGTCTTTTTCCATCACGTGATATTCTGTGCCAGCCAAACCCTGTGATTATTCGTGAGTTTCTAAACCAAGTGTCGAGTTTTGAATAATGTTGCCATTATTGTCTGAAGGCTTATCAAAGTTTGTTTTTTTTGTTGTTAGGTAGGTGAGAAATATAAATATAGTCTGTACTGTAATATTGTGCTTCAGTTGGCAGGATGCAGAATTTGGGCCTGTAGACATTTGTGTATCAAAATATGAGTATAGCTACCATTAGAAGAATTAGAGATTAAGGATGTACTTTTATCAAGAGAGAGGGCTAATGTACAGGTTAAAACTGACAATGAGTGGCTTGGATCCAGTGGAGTGCTTCTGTGGGTGGAAAGATTTGCCTATGAAGAGAAAGATGGCTTTTAAAGATCATGAACATTTTGAAGAAGCACAGATAGCTTTTTCATTCAACTTCTAAAAGTATCTTTGCTATACAGAATTGACTTCTGTTTCTAGTATTTGCCAAAATCTGTGTAACATTCAAATATCGGGGCTATGGAACCTCTGGCAGAAACAAATGAGAACCCGGGGAGTTTAGTAGGTAGGTATTTCTTTGTCTTCAAGCATTATGTGCCTCCAATGGGAGGGGCCGTGGCTCTGTGGTAGAGCCTCTGCTTGCATACAGAAGGTCCCAGGTAGCAGGTGATGCAGAAGACCTGTGCCTGAGACCCTGGAGAGCTGCGGGCAGCCTAGGCAGTGCTGACCTTGATGGACCGAATCAATGGTCTGATTAATGTAGGGACCATTTTACCTCTTTGCGGGTGATGGTCTGAATCACAAAGGAAGGTTTAGTGGAAAAGAGGGCCAATATTAAAACCCATTGATAAAAAGAAGTACATGTATTTATTAATAATATCAAGTTAAAACATATATAGGGGCCCAATTACAGACAATATACATAAACCATAATCATAACCAGGGCTAAAAAAATGACCTGACGCGTTTCGGCCGGATCGGCCTTCCTCAGAGGTCATACAAGTGTGGCTAGATGGTAAATAGTTACACTCATAAAACACAATCAAAAATGTATACAAAATATAATTTCAATTAGGACCAACACACATATTTTACAATCAATAAACAATTTGTTTATAAAAATCTATAAAACCAATCAATAAATATACTACAAACTTACTTCAGTAAAAACATACCCAGGCACAAAGTGAATATGCGCATACAATCTTTTTAGTGCAATCACTAGCCCAGTAGATATAAAATCAACCTAAGGAATAAAATAAAAATAAGTATGTCAAGCAATTTAAAAGCCAAAAGTGCATAATAATAATAATGATTGTAAAATAGTTACCTATGGTCCACAAATAACCTTCTTAGATTGTGTTGCCACAATAATTACAAGTAAACAGCAGTGTGGAAAAGTTTAAAATGCTGGAGCTATATAATAAGGTGATCTGGTCATGTGATTGCACCTTACACATAGAGTATACCATTCAGGGATAAAGAAACAGTGCAAATGTAAACAAAATAGAACAATCCATATAAAAAAATGCTATACCCACAAGATTATATTGCACACCAGTCAGCATGCTCATTCAGGCCATATGGGGTTGCAGTCTTGAGAGTATGTATCCAATATAATTCTCTTTTTTTCAGCTGTTGGATCATCTGGTGGTGGCTATTCGGCCGAACATACTCGAGAGCAAAGAAGGCAAAATCTTTATCACTATGTCCTGCCATCTTAAAGTGCTCCGTCAGGGGTGCATTCTTCCTGCCCCGACCATATTAGGTCGTTTTTTAACTGTAATTCAAAGGGTTTAATCTATTGCATAATCTGTCAATGTCAAAAGAAATACATCGGATGCACATCAAGGTCATTGCGGACAAGAATAACTGAGCACAGAAGTTGCATCAGATGGGGCAAACTATTTCTGTATGTCTTTGTTTTGCAGGACCCAGCTGGTTGTCCCGTCTGCAGTTTCTGTGGATGGAAGGAGTTCCACCTGCAGAAGCATGACTTTCCCACCTCCCTCCTTTCTTTGCATCCTGAAATGCTGTTTCTAGGGCATGGAAGACCCCCAGGAATAACTGGGGGTGGGGGGAAGTGGAATCAAAGATCTTGTGTGTGTTCGTGTGGAGGGGGGGAATCAGTGAAAACTGCTACCCCCTCCTGCCCAGGCAGAAATTTTAAGTGGGATGTTTCTGTTGTTCCATATCAACAGTACTCTAAATGAAATGGAACTGTAGTGCAGCAATGTCATCTTTAAAGAATGCATAAACTTTGAAATCCTTTACAAGCTCTAAGCCACTTGCATGCATTTCAGTGCATAAAGAGCTCAGGGCGAACTCCTTTGAGACAAATTACTTGAAGTTGTACTAGGAGGGGTGCTAGAAGAAGTTTTGCTATAGATCATAATGCTATTGGAAGCAATAGAACTGTAGGCATAACCCCCGCCACCTTTTACTGTTGATTCTAGTTACAATCCCAGAAGTAGCATCAATGTATCAAGGCGTAGTCACACTTACCTACAATAGCATGGCTGGTCCCCCCCCCAGCAATTGCATGCTGCTCAGGAAAAAAATGCATGAAAGAATGAACTCTGTGGGTGGGCCAGTGATGTGGTTCTTTCTTGTGTGGAGATCTGTCTTCCAGCCAGGCACTGCTCACATGGGAGGGAACCAAGTCATCAGTCCAGCCCACTGACTCTTTTCATACATGCCTTCCCAGTAAATGATTCCTTGCTCCTATGGGTAAGGGGGGAAGTTGCTGCCCTCTGTCCCCTTGATGTATCCGTCAAATCATGCACAAATAGTGCAGGTGATGTCTTGCTTATGTGTACAACAGAAGCAAGCTGAATTTTTAAAGAGGAATGTTTTATGAGCTGTCTCACCTTCAGCTCTTGTGGTGAGACTTGCAACTGACAGGCAGGATTATCTTTGCATTTTGAGTGCACTCCCAATCAGTTTATGCCCTTGAGGACTCCTTAGAGTGACCACCTGCAGTAGAGGGCAGGGCTCCCATACCTTTGATAATTGGCTGGAAGAGGAAATTGTTGGTAGCTCTGTAAACACTGCCGGAATCCAAGTGACAAACTGCATCTTCTACCTGACTGGAGGTACACCAGCCTCATCTTTTACTTATGGCCCTTTGAAGGACTTAATTTCTCTGTCAACTTGAACTGTGGCTCTTCTGCAGTATTACTTATAGCGTTGCTACAGGACACAACCCCCTGCAATAAAAGTTGTTACTCTCCCTCCCCAAGTCCCTCTTCTGCAGTAACAGAATACTCACAGGTTAAGTATGAAACCTAGCCCTCTGATGGCCTGCTAACTTGATATGGTCAGCACAAAGCATTAGAGCATGTTTCAGGAGGAAGGGTTCCTATGTCAACTGCACTGACAATATTGTAGCTTCTAGAAAAGGAGGGTTTCATTGTCTCAGTGTTACATCCTTGTCACCGTATTGAGAGGCAATTGCAAAAGATGATCTCGCACCAAAGCCTGTGGAGAAAGTTCAGGAGAGCTGTTTAGAAGCACTGTAATGCTCTCCCTGTCCCTCCCACATAGCACAGTGATACAGAGATGATCATGAAACACAACCCAAGCAGTTTCAGGAGAAGATAAGGGACATGAGAGACCTCTAGGGTCACTGGGAAAGCCTGTCCAAGGGTACGGCTGGCACGTTGGCCGTGCTTTCATCAGGACTAGCCATTCCAGTGTGACAGCTTTAGGACTGTTACAAGATCCACGGGTCTTTGAAAGTGTCGCTGGAAGTTTACTTGCACAGTGTGTAGAAATTGCGTTTATTTGGCGTAAGTCTCTCTCGTGTGACTGCAAGCATTCAGTCACTTAATCAGCAGGTGAATCAGCTCTAGTTGCTTAATGGCCAGAGGCCAGTTTGGAATGGGCGGGCCCGCAAGTTGAGAGCACGGCTCACACTTGGTTTGAGCCTTTGTTTCCAGTGAGAATGACAAAGGAGAGCTTGCCTTGCCTTCTAGTACCAGATAGGAGCTCTTCCAGGCAATTCTCAGAATGTTTTCTTGGGAGTAAGACCCCATTCCATAAACCGGGGTAGACCTTAGAATTGCTCTCTGTTAATTGGGAGGTTTAAATGTCCTTCAAGATCTCAGAAGAGGGTCTGGTAATAGGCATTATTTAATGTCTGTCAGATTGGTGGTAACTTAAAAAAATAAATTGGATCGATGCTCCTCCCTTTTGAAAAAGCATGGCTACTTACAGTTTTAAAACAAGTCCAGTGGCACCTTAAAGACTAACAAAATTTGTTTCAGCATGATCCTTCCTCAGTCAGAGCTCACTTCTTATAATGCTTATGGGAAGGAAACCATTTTGGAGATCGTATAATAAAAAATCACAGAAGGGGGGGAGGAAGAGTTGGAGCACAGAGAGGCTTGGTTTGAATTCTGGCACACATTTTCCTGGTATGATAAGATGTGTAATGGATTCAAACTAGTTTTACATGTAGATGAGAGAGGTCAGAGGTTCTAACGTTTCCTAAGGGACACAGATAAACAAAGGTTATAATGAAATAGGATGACAACAGTCAAGGAAGATATAGTCTGCAGCATAAGAAACCCAAGTCTCTGTTTAAGCCAGGATGAGAGTGCGTCTAATTCAGTACTTTTGTGTTGTATATTGCCTCTGAAGGTTTTTTTCTGCTGTTGGTATAACAGTAACTTTCAGATCCGCAATAGTATGTCCAGGAAGACTAAAATGTTCCCCCACTGTTTTCTTAATGAGTTTTTTTTAATGTCATAATTTACCATAATTAGTAGAAATATAGTGTAGGAAAAAAGTTGTGTATATGTATGCATGCAAATCTGCAAGTCTGAAGATGTGTCCAGTGGGTTGAGCAATATGATGATACTGAGGAGTACGCAGCCTGAGGTTTTTAAGGGTTGTATTTAATGGAAATTTTC